CCCATGTGGGGAATCGAACTTCAACCACTAGACTATCTCACCTCCCCATATGACTAGGAAGACTGTACAAAGATACATAGACTCCCTGATATGACTGTCAGAACTAGCATTAGTTGAGTTCAGCTCTTAAGATTATGGATGATAAAAACATAAGTTAAGATCTGATTTATTTTCAGCAACCCATGCTTGCCGTAAAAGGCGACTATGCTTGTAAGAGGCGACTAACGGGGTCGGGTGGTCAGGCTCGCTGACTTGGTTGATGCATGTCATCGAACCCCATTGCGTGGATCGATGCTCATGATGTCAATCACTGGATTGTCTGGTCCAGACTCGATTATTTACAGACAGCCGTCATATAGCTGGAATATTGCTGAGTGTGGCGTTAAACAACAAACAAACAAACAAACAAAAAGATTTCAACGGGAAAACTATTAAAACATTCTAGAGCTAAGGAGACGGTTCTTTAATTCTCTACAATGTTGTAACTTACAACAATGGCTTACTTATGTTAAAATATTTATACAGCGTTATACCAAATATCCCCTCAAGCGTCCTCCCTGACGCATTTTAACAAATTTCTCTGCAACAACACAAACAAAACACAATTTTACAGGCACGAACGCGCGCATGGATAAATAAGTTGCCTGTGCTCATTGGGTCTTTAAAGTTTAGCACTGGTTCCAGACAGCCACAACCGGTCTTATCTTGTCTGTGTTGTGACCCTCACACCTGTATAACGGTATTAGGACGGCAGTCGGGATGGCGGAAATATGGGTCAGCACGGAGTTACAAGGTATGATTGTGCCAGCAATCGAATAACGTGTTTCAGACCTCTATATAAACACCTGACCATGCTTACCTCAAAGAGACGTGAGGCACCCGTGCACCTCGGCATTGGTCAGTTCGCGACATGTGTATTACATCATAACATAAATCTCACCTCAATGCATCGAAACGTTATTTAGAATTTGCTTCGCGTTTGCCAATGCTCCAATATCATTGTGGCGGGGAAAACCAAGAATGGGTTCATTGTATTCAAACATGAAGGGAATCTAACCCGACTCTTCAGTGTGGTGAATGAACGCTTTAAACACTAACCTACCTCATGGCCCTAAAATGCTGTTAAGCATGAGTGAACGCTTTAAACACTGACCTACCTCATGGCCCTAAAATGCTGTTAAGCATGAGTGAACGCTTTAAACACTGACCTACCTCATGGCCCTAAAATGCTGTTAAGCATGAGTGAACGCTTTAAACACTGACCTACCTCATGGCCCTAAAATGCTGTTAAGCATGAGTGAACGCATAAAACACTGGCCTACCTCATGGCCCTAAATGCTGTTAAGCATGAGTGAACGCTTTAAACACTGACCTATTTCATTGCCCTAAATGCTGTTAAGCATGAGTGAACGCTTTAAACACTGACCTACCTCATGGCCCTAAAATGCTGTTAAGCATGAGTGAACGCTTTAAACACTGACCTACCTCATGGCCCTAAAATGCTGTTAAGCATGAGTGAACGCTTTAAACACTGACCTACCTCATGGCCCTAAAATGCTGTTAAGCATGAGTGAACGCATAAAACACTGGCCTACCTCATGGCCCTAAAATGCTGTTAAGCATGAGTGAACGCTTTAAACACTGACCTATTTCATTGCCCTAAATGCTGTTAAGCATGAGTGAACGCTTTAAACACTGACCTACCTCATGGCCCTAAAATGCTGTTAAGCATGAGTGAACGCTTTAAACACTGACCTACCTCATGGCCCTAAAATGCTGTTAAGCATGAGTGAACGCTTTAAACACTGACCTACCTCATGGCCCTAAAATGCTGTTAAGCATGAGTGAACGCTTTAAACACTGACCTACCTCATGGCCCTAAAATGCTGTTAAGCATGAGTGAACGCATAAAACACTGGCCTACCTCATGGCCCTAAATGCTGTTAAGCATGAGTGAACGCTTTAAACACTGACCTACCTCATGGCCCTAAAATGCTGTTAAGCATGAGTGAACGCTTTAAACACTGACCTACCTCATTGCCCTAAATGCTGTTAAGCATGAGTGAACGCTTTAAACACTGACCTACCTCATGGCCCTAAAATGCTGTTAAGCATGAGTGAACGCTTTAAACACTGACCTACCTCATGGCCCTAAAATGCTGTTAAGCATGAGTGAACGCTTTAAACACTGACCTACCTCATGGCCCTAAAATGCTGTTAAGCATGAGTGAACGCATAAAACACTGGCCTACCTCATGGCCCTAAATGCTGTTAAGCATGAGTGAACGCTTTAAACACTGACCTACCTCATGGCCCTAAAATGCTGTTAAGCATGAGTGAACGCTTTAAACACTGACCTACCTCATTGCCCTAAATGCTGTTTAGCATGAGTGAACGCTTTAAACACTGACCTACCTCATGGCCCTAAAATGCTGTTAAGCATGAGTGAACGCTTTAAACACTGACCTACCTCATGGCCCTAAAATGCTGTTAAGCATGAGTGAACGCTTTAAACACTGACCTACCTCATGGCCCTAAAATGCTGTTAAGCATGAGTGAACGCATAAAACACTGGCCTACCTCATGGCCCTAAATGCTGTTAAGCATGAGTGAACGCTTTAAACACTGACCTACCTCATGGCCCTAAAATGCTGTTAAGCATGAGTGAACGCTTTAAACACTGACCTACCTCATGGCCCTAAAATGCTGTTAAGCATGAGTGAACGCATAAAACACTGGCCTACCTCATGGCCCTAAATTGCTGTTAAGCATGAGTGAACGCTTTAAACACTGACCTACCTCATGGCCTAAAAATGCTGTTCAGCATGAGTGAACGCTTCGAGAGGTCAACCCTCGCCCAGTGTTATATACCTGGTTTTCAACTGTATCAAGGCATGTCTTATAAACATTAGCAGGTTTTGCTTATTTCAGAGCTCTTTACTTGGAGAACAAAAAGCTCAATAATTTAGAGATCTCAAATCAAGGACGACATGTCTCACAATAAGAAACCCCCTTTTTTCCAAAATTGTTCCGAGTATCTCCAATATTCATGCAAAATAAAGCTTTGGTTATAGCATATGTATAAAACGGGGGCGGTGGGGTAGCCTATTGGTTATTGCGTTCGCTATTCACACCGAAGGCCAGGGTTCGATTCCCCACATGCATGGGTACAGTGTGTGAAGACCAATTCTGATGTCCCCTGCGATTATTTTCCTGGAATAATGCTAAAAGCGGCGTAAAACCATACTCGCTTACCTTGTCGCATCTGAGAGATATGTTGGCATCGGCAGAGTCTGATGTTTTAGAGAAGTTGTCCATTCGAGTTTTGGAATCACCAATTACGCAACATGCGCATAGAACTACTTTGAATACGCAAACATAATGAAATTTGAGTATACGTGTTAAGCTGCAATTTGCCTTCTCCTCAAGACAATCTGAATGAGGTACAGGCGAAATATTTATTATAATCATATAATTAATTATCTTACAATGAACAATATGAATTGTTTTTACAGAATATATCGGCCATCTCATGGAACAAGATGTGACTTCCAAGAAATACTCATGTGCGTATATTTACGGGAAGACTAACGCGTAGTTTATGAAAATATATAAGTTTGATAGAAACTCCATTTAAATTAAATAGAAGCTGCAGTAAGATGGAGATTCCTGTGGAAAAGTTAGACTTGATTCATTTAGAATTACAGCATTACAGTAAGGGCTGGGCGAAAGAGAAAATAATATTGTTCAGGGACTGTGAGACAGTCTAGTTTACTAGTTCAGCGGCATTCGTCACCACTCGCCCCTTTCCGTAACCTGCAAGTCGCTATTCGGCTTGTCCCGGAATAACACGAGTTGGTCACGAATGGTTCAGCGGAAGTTATTTTAGGTCCTGTCGTACAACTATCCTGGAGGCATTTCCTGTTATCGTATCGTTACTCTGAGCTAACATCCGCCCGAGGCAAGGGAGTTGACTGACTCTAAAAGTCCAGCTTGCAGTTAGTTAATTCCTTTTCCTCAGGAAGCTGTGAGCTCATGACTACCAACATGTCAAAGGTTATATATAGATAGTGCAGTCATTGCCAAGATCGACAGAAAGAGCTCTATGGTGATGTGAAATAGGGTTTAACGTCACGTCCAAGATTATTGCACTTATATAGCGATGTGCATGCTAAGTGTGTGTGTACTAGTCGGGACTGATTGCGATTTATAGTGCTAGCTCACTGAGATACCATGCCGCAGTTTAACATGAATACCCCACTCAGACACAGTATACTGATTCCGAGCCGACCAGTCCTTGTTTTAGCCCCTTAATGCCGAGCGCCAGACAGGGCAACAACAAGTTCCTTTTGGTATGACGCGGTCGGGGATCGAACCCCGGACCTTCCGCTCTCCGGGCGGACGCTCTACCATTAGACCACGGAGGCGGTCGTAGAGCATTATGGACTCGATGATAACAGTGTACTAATCTACGTCGAGACGTCGCTAAATGCAATAAACCAGAAGTTGTTATCCATAAACATGTATATTGTTTTTACTTACACACCAACTTGTAGAATGCTAGCCAGATATGTATTTTGATAAAACATGTTCTAAAGTAACATATTGATGTAGTTTCCACTTCGACGCAAATGACAAGACAGTTTGGTTGATCAACATTTGTGTCAACAAAATGTGACAAAACAACGACTTGAGGTCTTACATGAATTATTCTTTCTCTCTCTCTCTCGTGTATAGGGTAGCGTGAACGATGTCATTACATCAGCACTGACAAATTAGTTGTATACACATGGGATAACTATAGCAGGCCTGAGGGTTTATAATGCTAGAGTGGAGCAGGGATTTCGCAGTCGGAAGCCTGTAGTTACAAATATTTAGATGGTCAAGTGAATTCCCGACAAGCTGTGTTTAAAATTTATCATACGCAAGACTGGTTCGAACTCATGTTGAAACAGGCCGTCTTGATAGGGTTTCACTGAACGTGTGTGCATTGTTTAGAGTTACCTCCCCTGAAAAAGGAAGTAGACTTTGACCCACAGCTGTCGACTGTCAACACAAAACATGCCTGTTTATTAATGTGTTATCCGAGTAGGATACAGGTGAAGAGTCTACACAGTCCTTGAACGAGATTGCAGACACTTCGCTGATAATACTCCGTACATTCTTGTGACTTAGAGCTTCCCCTTGCTACAACAAATAAACAGGTAAAGTTGCATATATATTTGTCTATCAATCAAGTCGGTTACCATTGTTCATTTTTCATCATGCCGGTAAAAATTAATATGCGTGTATTTATTATCGACTTGTATGTCATGTACTAGCTAAAGTAATTTGGCATTAATCATCGGTTCGTTTGATCTTCTGTTATTTATTCAGCGATTGTGTAAACTGAGTAACTTGAATTATAATGAACTTCACGGCGAATGAATGATTCATGATTCTGTAAGGAATATGTGTATGATACTCTAAACTAGGGCTGGGACGGGTAACTCGGGTACTCGGGTCGGGTGGGTACCCACATGACTACCTGGACCCGTGGTTAGTTAGGTGACATACTGTTTAATGACCTTAACAATAAAACTCAATGGTTACACTACAAGTATGATCAGATTGTTTTATACATGTATCTAAATAGTTTTTGCCAGGGCTGCAGTAAAACAATTCCCATTCGGACATTTTGTACCCAACTCTTGAGACATATAGCGGGTATCCGGGTTGGGCCGGGTAATAGGGTGGCGGGTACCCGGGTAGTAAATTTGGACTTGTCCCAGCCCTACTTTAAACGATGTCTGAGTATATTACATACCCCAATCGCTTTAAAGCAACAACTAATATATGATATTTCATTTTGAAAATTTGTGTCGTGTGATTATTTAGTGAATTTCTCTCTACATAATTGCTACTGTACAGTGAATCTCACCTCTTAATTATGCAGGGTTTCACAAATGCTGCGATACCATGAATGTCGCGATACCACGGGGTCCGAGTAGATCTATATATGGTGATTGGGGGCAATACAGCAGATTTTTTAGGTTAAACCTTGATTGATTTTGAGTTCAGTATTTGCAGACAGATATGCTGACCACCATGGCGATTCATGCTTGGCTTGAAGATTATATTTTCACTACACAGGGATCTATCTGGGTCTATTTGCAAGTCCAGGATATTCTCAGTTGTCATTTTGGGGTTCCTTGGCAAGAACATGGGGATGCCAGGCAGGCCACATTTGGCAGGCTCCACTTGTTTACCAAGCATTTTACATCCTGCTTTGCATGTCATAGATTTGGATTTCAATGTTGAGTGTATTTGCAGGATAGAAATGCAAGTTACCTTATTCGACGTAATAAGCGCCCCGCTCTAATAAGCGCCCACAGGGATATTTGCTAATATATTGGCAAGTGAACAATCCCAATTAGCACCCCTTCTGATTTATCAATGTACACAAGACTTATTTATTCGTGTATAATTCGCACTCCTGTGTTATATGCACCCTTAATTATGGGCAATTAAATTCTTGAAAAATATATCTGTCGTATATAAACAGTTCAGACTGTCAGCATAAACCAAGAAATTTATCTTTCAACTCTGTTTTTTCCACCAAAATAATATTCTAATAAGAGCCCCCTATTTCTAATTTTGAGAGCGCCCTGGGCGCTTATTACGTCGAATATGGTACATATACAAGATTGTAACATGCAATCTAGAGATTTGATGGGTCTAAATGGCACAGACATTATGGAATTACAAGAAGCTGTTCATAAAATTTTATAGAGACTGTTTCAAATTCCTATGATTCAAACTGCCAGATGTAATTTTGTCCCCCAGGACTCGCAGTTTAAAGTATCTTTACCAACACAATTTGTTGCGTCTAGGATGCAATATTGTGCATCCTGTAAAACCCTGTACATATTACAATATATTGACTATGTTGTCTATGAATGTCAAGCCCTGCAGTGGATCACAAATATTTTCTAAATTCATTATTTTGTGGCAGCAGCAGTGTTTGAAATAAAATACATTGCCAGGCTGCCACCAGGACCCACCGACTTTGAACCTGCAGAGCCTGAATCAACTCTTCAGCAACCCATGCTTGCCGTAAAAGGCGACTATGCTTGTCATAAAAGGCGACTAACGGGATCGGGTGGTCAGGCTCGCTGACTTGGTTGATGCATGCCATCGATCCCAATTGCGTGGATTGATGTTCATGATGTAAATCACTGGAATTTCTGGTCCAGACTCGATTATTTACAGACCGCCGTCATATAGCTGGAATATTGCTGAGTGCGGCGTAAAACAACAAACCAAACCAAACCAAAACCAAAGGTTCACATTAAAAAAACTGCAGCTCATTGTGACAAATAAATCAACACATAAATTTTCGACAAATTTGAAATGAAGGGTCCGACATGAGATGTCACGGGCCATCAGGCAGGCGCTCATTTCGAACAGTGAACAGCAGGCATCATCACTACAACAGATGGAGCTGGCACTAGTGGCAGGTTCTGGAAACAATATTTATAACCAATATATAGTATCTTTCTGATCATGCTTGTGGGATATGGTACTTATGTATGCACACACTGTATGGTCACTGTAGTTTGATCATGACAGTAATGAGTTAGACATGTTCAGGGCTGTGGATGTATCATGTCAACAAAATGGATTGTATTTGAAAGTAAATTCATCACTTCATTTTATCACAAAATGAAGAAGACCTAGAGTTAAACCTACTTGTTATTAACAAAAAAAAACAGCTTCAGAAAAGTTCTAAAACTCGACGCAACGATCACTGTCATGCAGATATTTTACAAGTTCGTCAATCTGAAAATGATGTGTGATACAAAGATCGCAGAAGTGTTGTAGTAGCCAAGTTTTTGACTCCTCAAATGTCAACTGCCATTTTCATGATGAATAATGGTCCAGAGTTGATTATGATGTCATATAGCTGGAACATTGCTCAGTGATTCAACAAACAAACAAACAAACAATCAAACACTGTTCAAAGCACAACATATGTTTACCAGTAAGCTGTTTTTTTCCTAAACCAGTAGACAGTGATTGAGTGACTGGTGCTCAGTGATAATCGAAGTACAGCTCCCCCAAGTGCGTGTAGGTTCACCATGTTGACTGACCTCAATTATGATTTATCTATTTGACATTAGTAATGTAGGCCTTATGTCAGGATGTGAGGTGATACTGCAGATTACGTTTTTTTCACAATCTCATTAAAATCAGACCTTTTTTCTCGCTACCGCTAAACAAAGATCTGAGGACATCCCATTAGGGGTCACGTCAGAACGACCTTTCATCCGACTTATCAGAGCGTCGCTTACCAGATTATGAAAGTGACAGTCGGAATGTGATTTCTAATCTAGGGTTGCGACGGGTACTCGAGTACCCGATAACATAACAGGTCGGGTAGCTTAGGACTCGAGTCCAATTTTCAGGACTCGAGTACCCGTTCAGGGGAGATAACTCTAATCGCCTTTCGTAACTCGTAAGTCAATTCAAAATGGACGACAAAGCGGACAAGCTTTCAAATGTTTGGGCGTAAAGAAAAAGACCAAATGCCGTCTCTGTGGCATATGTATCAGCTACACAGGTAGTTCGATGAGTTCCATGAAAAAGCATCTAAGTTTTAAACACAAGAGCATTTCTCTTGCCGGCAGCGACAGCACGAAAGCCAAGAAACAATCAACTTTAACGCAAGGGGCGTTTGGATTGGATAATCTTAAACCGATGAATCAAAATTCTTATGAATTTCTCACTAAAAAGGCAATGCTAATGTGTGTGAATGACTTGCTGCCACTAAACCTCGTAAATGGCAGTGGATTTCGAGATTTTTGTCATGCCATGAACCCAAATTATGTTGTTCCCCACCCTTAAACGTTACACAAATATCTGATGAAAGAATATGATGACTGCAAATCTCTGTTGATTGAATATTTAAAGAAATGTTCAGCAGTCGCATTTACCACGGACATGTTGACGAGTTGCGCTACACATGGCTATATAACAGTGACTGGTCATTTTCTTACCGATGACTTGAACTTGCACTCTAGCATCCTGGCAACACGTCGTGTAGAGGAGTGTCACACAGGGGAGAACATAGCCGTCATTCTGGTACAAATTCAACATGAATTCGCGATCCAGAAAGTTTGTGGATTGACCACAGATAATGCCAGCAACATGTCAGTTGCAGCCAGGGTGACAGGGTACCCTCACATCAAATGTTTGGCACACACGCTGCAACTAGCGGTCAACGATGGACTCAAACTGGAAGCTATCGACAATTTGATCATCCATGCCAGGAAACTAGTGAGCTTTTTCTCAAAATCATTGGTGGCCTCTCAAGAGCTGGAAGATGTTCAAAAGAAGCTGGGCAAAGACATCAGACACCTCATTACTGATGTGCCAACTAGATGGAATTCGATCTATTACATGTTTGAACGTCTCATCTATCTGCATACTGATGTAGTAACCGTTCTTCATGATGAGAAGTTTAAAAAGCACAGATGTCTAAACTTGAAAGACAGGCACTGGGCACTTATGGAACACCTTGTACCAGCTCTGAAGCAACTTGTGTCTTCGACAGAAGTGCTCTGTGGAGAAGATTTCCCGACGTCTGCAGGAGTTTATCCATTGGTCTTTGCCCTCATCCGCAAGCACCTTGTACCTGGAGAACTGGGCACCAAGATAGTGTCTGACTTGAAACTAAGGATCAAACAGGGCCTTCAGTCATGACTTCAAGGCACAGATTTTCACTTGACGGCTGCAATGCTAGCTACTGCTGTTGATCCATGTTTTAAGCACTTGCGGTTCCTGGATGAAGATCAACGTTTAGCTGTCAGAAAACACCTAGTTGATCAGATAAAGGAGCCAACCAGCTCTGCATATGAGCCTGAGGAGGTCACTGAGCAGTTGGAACATGCCGTGGATTCTGCAGACGCTGCAGCAAACGCTGTAGTTGTGAAACAGGAAGAAGACCTGCCACCTCCCAGAAAAAAGCCGACGTTCAGAGGGAACCAAACTCTTGGGTGATATCATTGACATTGATGATGATACTGATACATGTAAGAGCGAAGAGCAAGAATATAATAGTTTCCTTGCTGCGTCAAGCAAGCTTTACAAGCCACAAACAGGAAAGTCCTTTTCTCTTAGCCGCTGGAGAGAAAACGATCATGCATTCCCCAGGATCGCAAAGCTAGCCAAGTGGTATCTGTCAATACCTGGCACAAGTGTTCCGTCAGAGAGAGCCTTTTCTACGGCTGGTCTTACAATTACACATAATCGTGCTAAACTTCTCCCCCAAACTGAAGATGCAATTATTTTCCTGAACAATAACCTGAGGAAAGTTTTTTAAAAAGCCAAACATTTCTGATGCCTCTCCCTCTACGTCGGCTGCAGCTGCGGACGTCAGCGTTTGTAATGACGCTCCATCAATTAAGACTGAACCCGGAACAGAGTCAACAGACACACAGCATACAGAAACTCCTATGTTGCCGGCCCTCCCATTGCTGGGCAGTCCCGGCAGTGGTGATGAGATTTAGTTATGCAATCATCATGAATTAAGTCCGTTCTCACTAGTCTAGATCTTATACTTACCAGATCTGATTTAGTAGTTTCCATTAGACAGGCGTACAATGAGAAAGTCCATGTTGTGGTGATAAGAAATCACAAATGACATTCCACAAGTGTTAGTTAAAATTTGTTTGATAACTTTTCATGATCACTGATTTTTAAAATTTTTGTTCGGTTAAAAAACAAATTAGGTTGTTCAAAGTTGCAAGTTTGTCTTTATGCTTCAGCACGATAAAAACAGAAAAGTTGTTCTGTTTGACTATTTTAACGTAAAACTAAACAGTTTTCAATAATTTGCTGATCTGTTCAATAAAAATGTGAAATCTAATGTTACTTGTGTTTGTCATTATTGTCAAAATTATTTTACGAAATACTGAAATAGTGCAATGTTACAAATTACAATACAAGCCTAGATCACTCAGACACATATCGATTTATTACCCATGTCACGACTCACGAGTCAGGCAGTCATGTGATCTTGCCGTTTCCCGCTCTCGCCTGTTTTGGTGACAGTGCTCAATGACTGGCGCCAGATTACTTTGATAATCTGCGTCACTTGTTGTTTTAGGTAAGCCATGCAGGCATTTAAAAAAACCCATAATACCTTAGAATAGATCAATAGATGTTTGATGACCTTTTATTCGCAAAAGCATTACAAACAAATGGGACAACATTGAACTACGGGTACTCGAGTCCGGTTCGGGTATTGTCTGACGGGTACTCGAGTTCAATTTTCGTACCTGGTCGCAACCTTATTCTAATCATGCAACTTAAACACGGGGTATTCCGAAAGATAGTTACGGGTTTAACAACTGAGTCCATACAATCTAGACCATCTAATAGCCATTCCAGAATGTTCTTTTGTTCAGGTTTCAAATTTGTAAATGTGAGTTTGCTGAAATATGTTTCGAAGCGTAGTTGCCAATTTGAAATTAGTGCCGTAAAGCACGAGAAACCTGCCTTCTGATTGGTCATTCTATTGGTCGGTCAAAGTTCGCACAGGGATGTCCTCAGATCTTTGTTTAGCGGTAGCTAGAACTAAGATCTGATTTCAATGAGATTGGTTTTTTTCACAGACTATTTAGCAGGGTTTGAGTGAGTGAGTTTGGTTTAATGCTGTTTTGAACAGTATTCCAGTTACATCACAAAGTGTCAGCTTAATCATTTTATGAATGGTTGAGGAAAGCCCAAAGTAATGCAGGTCTTAGATGTTCAGGACTTGATGAAACCCACGAGCACGGGTATGGTGCTGACAAACCTAGAAACATAATCAGGGTAAACCAGGATTTGAGTTATAGGTTATCTGGTGTGCCCACATCTTCCCGAGGGAAGAGAGTTATCTGACTATAAAAGTCCAGTTTCCACCCTTGCCGAACTAGGCTGGTATTATGGAGTTACATTTTGGCTGGACTAGCTGGAGTCTATGCATAGTCCAATCAAAATCGTGCAACGAAATTGAAATCTGGTAGGTAAACTGTCGTGCAGATTTCGGGCGATTGCAGAATTTGCAAATGATGTGCACTGCCAATGCCTTGTCAACATATATTTTCTAAATCTTTTTATGTTTTTAATCAAGGTGCTCAAGTGATTTGATGCACTTCACGATGTAAGACCCATTTTATCACAATATAGATCTTGATTATTGATCAGAACATCTTGACTGGGCACCACCATTTTGTTTGAAGCAAATGCAAGCGATACAAGAGGTGGAATCTGATTGGTCCATAGGAGTGGCTTATAAGGGACATAACTTGTAATAGCCACTGGTGGCGCTACGATCGAGCCCAGGAATTCAGGCCTAGTTCAGCAAGGGTGGAAACTGGACTTTTAAAGTCAGTTAACTCTCCTGCGTCGAGAAGATGGTGTGCCCAAGGGAGGCAACTCTGCACAGTGAATTGCGGTGCCTTAGACGACTGGGCTGCTAATGCCCCACGCAGCATTGACCTACTCGCAGGACCCAAATCTAGTACTCTCCTGCAGCAAGGTTATATAGCCAGCAATAAGTACCGAAGTATAGCTGTTGCTTCAATGGTGTGAGGAAATTTCAAATGGATGAGGAAATACTTGGTTGAAATGTTAGTGTTAACGTCTGTGTGTTCTTATCATTCTACTCTATTATGACTATGTTATGTTATGATCGCTGGTTAGATTCTCCGGTCTCATTTGTTTGAGGGTGACCATATCCATACAAATGTAATGTTATTTTCAGCCATGGTTGACGCATTGATGTTGTCGGACACCGAGAAGACGTTTCAGTACACGGATGAACTTCCTTCTCTCCCCATCCCTCCTCTGAAGCAGACCCTGGACAAGTACCTTGAATCAAGTAGGTCTCCCCCTCAGTCAAACTCTAGATAAGTACCTTGAATCAAGTAGGTCTCCCCCACAGTCAAACTCTATATAAGTACCTTGAATCAAGTAGGTCTCCCCTTCAGTCATACTCTAGACAAGTACCTTGAATCAAGTAGGTCTCCCCCTCAGTCATACTCTAGACAAGTACCTTGAATCAAGTAGGTCTCCCCCACAGTCAAACTCTAGATAAGTACCTTGAATCAAGTAGGTCTCCCCCACAGTCAAACTCTAGATAAGTACCTTGAATCAAGTAGGTCTCCCCCACAGTCATACACTAGACAAGTACCTTGAATCAAGTAGGTCCCCTCAGTCATACTCTAGACAAGTACCTTGAATCAAGTAGGTCACCCCCACAGTCAAACTCTAGATAAGTACCTTGAATCAAGTAGGTCTCCCCCACAGTCATACACTAGACAAGTACCTTGAATCAAGTAGGTCTCCCCTTACTCATAAACTAGACAAGTACCATGAATCAAGTAGGTCTACCCTCACTCATAAACTAGACAAGTACCTTAAATCAAGTAGGTCTACCCTCACTCATACACTAGACAAGTACCTTGAATCAAGTAGGTCTACCCTCACTCATACACTAGACAAGTACCTTGAATCTGGTAGGTGTCCATCTTACTCATACACTAGACAAGTACCTTGAATCAAGTAGGTCTACCCTCACTCATACACTAGACAAGTACCTTGAATCTGGTAGGTCTCCATCTTACTCATACACTAGACAAGTACCTTGAATCAAGTAGGTCTACCCTCACTCATACACTAGACAAGTACCTTGAATCTGGTAGGTCTCCATCTTACTCATACACTAGACAAGTACCTTGAATCAAGTAGGTCTACCCTCACTCATACACTAGACAAGTACCTTGAATCAAGTAGGTCTACCCTCACTCATACACTAGACAAGTACCTTGAATCAAGTAGGTCTACCCTCACTCATACACTAGACAAGTACCTTGAATCTGGTAGGTCTCCATCTTACTCATACACTAGACAAGTACCTTGAATCAAGAAGGCCTCCCCCTCACTCATACACTAGACAAGTACCTTGAATCAAGAAGGCCTCCCCCTCACTCATACACTAGACAAGTACCTTGAATCAAGTAGGTCTACCCTCACTCATACACTAGACAAGTACCTTGAATCAGGTAGGTCTCCATCTTACTCATACACTAGACAAGTACCTTGAATCAAGAAGACCCCCTCTCCTCATACACTAGAATCTTGAATCATTGTGTGTCACAGTATTGTGTGTGGGTGTGATGATCGTTTGTTGGGACGTAACTGCTACAGATATTACCGAACAAGCCACACATTCACTTAGTCACCGGGGTACTTTGGCCACATATTGAATATCACGGTGACCCACATTACTGGGTTATCCTCATGCTGATAACAGTGCAGCAGTTGTGGGTGAGTGTCACAGTGTGCCACACGCGGATTGTGTATCTAGTCAAGAATACGGCACTGATAGTGAACGTCTCAGGCAGGACATTTTACAAGTATCCCATGCTTGTTGTGTAACTATAAGCCTTCTTAAAGGAGGGGGGTGGTCGGGTAGCCTAGTGGTTAAAGTGTTCGCTTGTCACGCCGAAGACCCAGGTTCGATTCCCGACATGGGTACAATGTGTGAAGACCATTTCTGGTGTCCCCCGCCATGATATTGCTAGAATATTGCTAAAAGCGGCGTAAAACAATACTCACTCACTCTTAAAGGAGGATTGGATGGCTCCCCTAGGGCTTAGCGTTTGTTTGTTTGTTGTTTAATGTCGCAATCAGCAATATTCCAGCTATGTGACGGTGGTCCTTAAATAATCATGTTTGGACCAAACAATACAGTGATTGACATCATGAACATCAGTTTATGCATCTACCAAGTCAGCAGGCTAGGGCTTCATCTGCAACTTTTAGCAGTTATCTAATATCCGAGTTGAGAAATCATCTTTTCACTCTTGTAAGAACAGCTGATAATAGTCCATTTAATATACTCTAAAATCTACTAAGAATTCTTCTAAGGGCCATGTTCAGGCTAGTCATCTCAAACAAACAAACAGAAGTATTTAGCACATTCTGCAGCATGATTAGTGCTCCTACTTTTAAACAGTGATGTGTCTGCCCCGGGTTATCTATAGGTTCATGGTCATGGTTTTTCAAGGAAAGCTTGACGTATGACAAGGGCTCCGTGCTAGGACCCTTGTGATAGGAGTTAAAAATGAAGGGGTGTCACTGATTTGAAATTTTAGTGTGGATATTTCTACTGAAAAGTATCACAATATATTGATATATCGATTAATTATAAAATAATTCTTCTCTGTGTGTATGGATAAAAAGTACCTATGTAGAAATGCAATTAATCACTTTAAGCTACAAGTGGGGCGGTCGGGTAGCCTAGTGGTTAAAGTGTTCGCTCGTCACGCCGAAGACCAGGGTTCGATTCCCGACATGGGTACAGTGTGTGAAGCCCATTTCTGGTGTCCCCTGCCGTGATATTGCTGGAGTATTGCTAAAAGCGGCGTAAAACTATATTCACTCACTCACTCACTATAGGTTCTTGTGATGTAGCTGGAATATTGCTGATTGTGGCATAAATCAACATTTATGGATAGTATCCAGGGTTTGATTTAGCTATGTAAAACATGCAACCTATTGCAACCCAGTGCAACCTATTGTTGAATGCAGCCTTATATTTATGCCTTCAAGCACCTAGTGCATGTAAAAACAAGTTTCAAATTGTGTCTGCCTAAACCCTGCTTGTCAACACAACATTAGTCTTTGAACACATGCAATACCTCTAAGGTTATTTACCACACGACATCCCATACATCACTGATCCAGGTGTTACGTGTAATATGTCATGCTTTCGTGGGCTTGACATCATAAAACTGTTGGTACATCCACATAATGTGCACATATATGTTCCTATATCGTATTTCACTGATACGTCATAATTTGTTTGACACTGGCAGCAGACCGGCCTATGTTTCAACTGTAATAAATTTATGGAAACAGGGTAAAACTAGTTTTGTTTGGTGCAACTGGGTTTTCATGTCAGCATGCCTGATGAAAGTTAAATCAAGATCCTTAAGCAAGCCCAGGTATCAGAATGTTTACAGTGTTTAAAATCAATGGCCTTGTCACACTACAACGTATAGCAGTAGCGTATGGCGACGTATGAGAATTTTTGCCAAAAGGCCAGCAACGCTGACACATGCTATGAATGAGTTAGGTGTAAGTTGTATATGTTAAAAGCACGCTATTTGTACTATGCTGAGGCTTAAAAACATTTTTGTGCATGCACATAATATTCGGCGTATGGGAACGTATGAACCTTTTACTTATCTAGACTGCTCTCGTTTTTCGTGGTAATTTGATGAATGGGCATACACTACTAGTAATACTACCGCGGGGCCTTTCCCCTACGCTGAGTGCACTAGTCATACGTTACTCATACGCTGGGCATACACTGGCCGTACGTTGAACACGCCAGACACACGCTGGCAATACACTTTTATACGCTGTCATAAGTTATGTCTAAGTCAGTGATATGCCACTGATATGTCAGACATGCGTTACATATACAGTGAACTCGCTATGTATACGCTATGAAATCATTGTTTTTCAAGGAAAGCTTGATGTATGACAAGGGCTCCATGCTAGGACCCTTGTGATAGTAGTTAAAAATGAAGTGGTGTCACTGATTTAAAATTTTAGTGTGGATATTTCTACTGAAAAGTATCACAATATATTGATATATCGATTAATTATAAAATAATTTATCTCTGTGTGTATGGATAAAAAGTACCTATGTAGAAATGCAATTAATCACTTTAAGCTACAAGTGGGGTGGTCGGGTAGCCTAGTGGTTAAAGCATTCGCTCGTCATGCCGAAGACCCGGGTTCGATTCCCGACATGGGTGCAATGTGTGAAGCCCATTTGTGGTGTCCCCTGCCGTGATATTGCTAAAATATTGCTAAAAGCAGCGTAAAACCTCACTCACTCACTCACTTAAGCTGCAAGTGAACTAGGCTGTTCCATTAAATGTTTATAATTATATTTTCAGTCTTCTCATTGTTCATCTTAAACATATTAACCTCAATAAAAGTAAATTTCTCTGTGGCACTGAAAAGTTTCGTATCAATAACTTTTTTGTATGGGTATAGTATCAACATTAAAGGGCAAGTTCACACGGAAATGAACCAATTTTTCTTGTACTTTTTCCACATTAAAAGTGTTAACATAGAAGTGTCATAGACATAAATATAAAAACATCATATTTAATTAACATATTTTTTGCATTAAAACGATTTATATTTTTCACATTTACTAAGTGTTCTATTTCCATAACAAAAACACCATGGCTTATGCCCCTTGCAATATGACGTCATTGGTGCCAATTGATAAACATTATGACGTCATCATGCTTTGTTAGAGCCGCTTCACGTGGTGTAGGTACAGTTTTGTGATTTTAGCGTCTCAGATGCCAGCCAGAATTGTGTTATACTGAGTCACCACTGCGCCGGAGTGTGTCGTAGACCATGTTGTTTTACATAAAAACTGGTCCTTGATATCTTTTGCGTTGAGAATAGACAGGGACCCAGTTGAATTAGCACCAATTACGTCATAATCTAAGGGGGATAACTCAGGCCTATTTTGCTCGTAAAACGAAGGCCTCATAACAGCATATCATTTTAACACTATTGTGAGCTTCCTTCTTTCACTGTGAGAAAAAATGAGTGTATATTTTCAAACACAGATACTAACTAATTCTAAAATTGCGTTTTGTTTAGAAAAAGAAAGAAAGTGATTTTTGCGTGTACACTTCCCCTTTAAGAACTCATAGATACTTCAGTATACGAAAAGTTTCAAATACCCTATAGCAGGACACATCCACGTGCAGCCTGTCTTCTTCATGACGGGGTATAAAGCATTTATTCTCCAGCTCAGAAATTCATTTCCCTCCCAGGAGGGATACATTAGAAGTTGTAGCAGTATCACACAGGGTATATGTGGTTTTATGCAATCCACGTTTTGTTTTATACCATTAGCTGGAGGTGAGATAAATTGTTGACAAGATAAATTTGTTGTCGCAGTACCACTCAGGGTTTATTTGGTGAGGTTTCATACCACTTGCCTCCGGCTGGGACATGTTTTCATCTGCAATTGTAATTGAATTAAAACAAATTGAAAATTGATATAAAGCAGCTGTGCGATTGTGCTGAGGTTACTTGTGCAGTGAGACGTGACTTTCACTGACTCGTAAACAATGTGCAGCATTTTGCTTTGAAGCGAGGTATAAGGGATTTATTCTCCCACTCAAAAATACATGTGCTGCCTGTTTTCTTCTTGCCGGGGTATAAGAAATATATTATCTTCCCAGACGGTATGCATAATATTTTATTAAGATCACGTTAACCAATCAGATCTCAACATTCTGATATGGAGATAAGATAACCAATGTTAGACCTGAATTTAAGAAAATATGAATTTAACACTTTTTACCCCATTTGCATGCCAAATGCTCTTAGTTTGAAATCTATGATGAGTACTTGCTATATCAGCGCTATTTGTTTGATCCATATGAGCAAATAATTAATTTTAAATGTTCTTATTAGAGAGGACAATTATTTGTTCCGTGAATGCATAAACAAAATAAATACATCTGTTGCACAGTGTGAAAAAAATGACCTTACAGCGTTAGAAACTAGCAGTCCACTAGTCCTTATAATGATAACATATAGCAAAACCACTAGAAATGGCAAATTTCTACTAGTCCTTATGATACCGTAACTATTGGACAGTTTGGCAAGGACTGTAGGACTAGTGCTGATTTCTAACGCTGCCTTACTGGCCTTGACGCTTTGCTTGATTCGTGTATACTTTCTAAAGTTCATTCCACAAGGCGATCTTAATCCTGAGATGATCGTAACTCCCATACCTTAACATAGACTTACGATCGCTTTGTGGAAGGGAGCCTAGGACTGATTAGATGTGTTGGACTTAATGGTGGCAGATGTTGTTTTAGGAGGTGCATAAATTCTGAGTTGTGAACTGTCACTGAAAGAAATGGAAATTAATATCAGTCATGTATGGCAGTACCATGTAAGTGGAATAAAGCTTTGGGGGAACTTGGAGACAATGTTGTGATCACCAGTGTGATCTTTGGTTACCATGGTGACCAGGTAGCGGGCATCTATTGCCAGGTGCTACAACACCACAAATTACAATCAGTATCAATGTCAGATTTAATTAAGAATAAAAAATTACAATGTTGAAATGATTGATTAGGATAACGTTGATTTTCTGTGTGGTTTATGAATATCTACTGTCACATAAGGTCAGTTGGAAGCAATATGCAACCTGAAACATCTACATGCAGTGCATGTCCACAATTTAATACTCCCAACTTTCTTACACATCATAGATTTTTTAACACATTAGCATTAGTGGATGGGTGTGTGGGTGTGTGTGGATGTGGATGGGTGGGTATGGATGGGTATGGATGGGTTCATGTGGGGGTGGGTGGGTTTATGTGGGTGTGGGTGGATGTGGATGTGGATTGGTGAGTTTGGGTGGGTTGATGTGGGTGTGAGAAACAAAATATTTACTGTTACAACCATTATAGCAAATTGTCATGAATATTATTCACTGTTAAATTCCTTTGTGAGAAGCTGCATCTTAAACAGCCATAATCAAAATATGTTACTTGTATGAAGAAGGAGGAAGTCTTTGCATCTTGTCGAATTCCTTGTTAATGTGGTAATGATGCATTTGGGTTGGGTTGTATACTCCCCAGGGAGCTGAGAATGACAATTGAGTGCACGCTGATCCGTTGACCAGGATAACAATGTTAATGCTTTGAGCGTGCACCGGGACTTCAGAGGCTAGCTCAATATAAGTACACACATTGTTATTATAGACAAATTAAAAAAAAAATTTTTTTTCATTTTAGCCAAGCCCTTTGTGACAGATGAAGAATATGGAGAGACTGAGAGAATTGTGAGAGAGTTTGAAGCTGGTCTGGGCAAAGAACTTCATCTGAAACTTTCTGAGAAGGCCAAGTACAAGAGGAACTGGGTTTGTATAATTTGCTGCAGGAAGGCATGCGTCCAAGACCCCGGGATTCCGGGTTAGAATTGGTCCCCACCAACCCATGCTGGTCATAGAAGATCTGGGGTAGAATAGGTCTTCAGCAACCTATACTTGTCATAAAAGGCGACTATGCTTGTCGTAAGAGGCGACTAACAGGATTGGGTGGTCAGGCTCGCTGACATGGTTGATGAATGTCCCTCCTATCCCAATCAGTGGATCGATGTTCATGATGTCAATCACGTCATTGTGTGGCCCCGACTCAAATATTTACAGACCGCCGACATATCGCTGGAATATTGAGTTCGGTGTTAAACAACAAACTATGCTATGCTACTTCTGCCATTACGAGAGGTAACTCTATTTGTTCCTGTTCTATTTATAGCATATCGCGATCTCACATACTGCCGATTTAAGTATCATGTGCACCTAAGTATTGATGATATTGGAGGTATCAGTGAATCGTTACAGCCCTAAATATTTACATCATCATACTCATGGGTTTCACCATTGTGATTATTGTCTACGACCTGTGCCATATTCAGATTTCCTCCTACATGAAGCTTAAGTACTGTGCATCATGGACCTGTTCATCCATCCCTCGAGGAGGCAAGATTTATTAGCCAAATATTTAGGGACAGTCTCGAAATATATACTACACAGTTGCTTCGGACCAAATTAGTCAACTTTAGTCAAAGATGTGGTTTGAAATTATGAACCATGAAGGTTGATTTTGCACTTAATTTTATAAACTTTTGACTAAGTGGCTAGTGACCATCTGACTGAAGTGCAGGATCCCTGCTATTGAATACTAGTATGTTAGTGTTATAGTATTCCTGATGCCATCCCCAAATCTGTTGTCATACCAACACTGAATCTGTTGTCATACCAACACTGAATCTGTTGTCATACCAACACTGAATCTGTTGTCATGCCAACCCTGAAACTGTTGTCATGCCAACACTGAATCTGTTGTTCCAGTTGGAGAAGTGGTGGGAGGATTATGCGTACCTGGAATGGCGGATGCCGTCTGCTCTCCTGGTCAACATGGCGGGGCCCGGCCCGTACATGCGGGACATCTGGCCGGCAAAGGACGGTACCCAGTTGGAGCGGACGGCCCTGCTCCTGCATTACATGGTCAAGTTCTGGCAGATCCTCAGACAGTGAGTTCCTATGTTGATACTGACCTGGCATTGCGAGAGTATCTGGGGTAGAATAGGTCTTCAGCAACCCATGCTTGCCGTAAAAGGAGACGATGCTTGTCGTAAGAGGCGACTAATGGGATCAGGTGGTCAGGCGCGCTGACTTGGTTGATGCTCATCATCGTATCCCAATTGCATGGATTGATGCTCATGATGTCAGTCACTGCATTGTCTGGTCCAGACTCTATTGTTTACAGACCACTGTCACATAGCTGGAATATTGCTGAGAGCAGTGTTAAACAAAAAAATAAATATTTTGAGACTAGTTGATGTTTGATTCGTTTCCCAGCAACCTATGCTGGTTGTCAGAGGTGACTATGTGTATTGGGTGGTCAAGCTCGTTGACTTAGTTGAGTCCATGTCATCGAACCCTGACCGCAGGTTATCCTCCTCATTTTATCAATCACTTGTTTGCCTGGTCCAGGCTCCATTGTTTACAGGACACAGTGATGTGGTTAATAACTTGGTGGGGGCAAGGGTGTCCCAGTCGTCTAAGGCGGCGCGATTCGCTGTGCAGAGTTTCGTCCCTTGGGCACGCCAGAAACCTATGATTGTGGGTTCGAATCTGGGTTCGCCCCGATTATGTTTCTAGGTTTGTCAGCACCATACCCGTGCCCGTGGGTTTCACCGAAGTGGTAAACGTCTGAGACCTGCATCACTTCGGGCTTTCCTCCCACATTAAGCTGACAAGCCGCGATATAACTGAAATACTGTTAAAAGCGGTGTTAAACCCAACTCACTCACTTGACAGACAAGTGCTGCCAGTTTTGGATGTTTGAGACTCCCAGAGCCAGATAACTGAGGGTGGTCAGTTATTTATGGGTCATTAAAGATAGTTATTGTTTAAACATTCACATTTGCTGGTGTTGATAAAATTACACAAAAGGCTACATTATTATGATGATACCATCAGATACATGTGTGCCAAAAGTCATCCACAAATTTGGTATGTTTCTGTCATTTGATACCTCTGGTCTACCAATCAGATTTTGTTATACTCAACTCTCTTGGTAGAAACTATACTATGAATTTTTCAGCATATTTGGTGTGATTTTTCAGAGAGAAATTACGCCCACAGAAGGATGGCCAGGGGAAACCACTCTGTATGTTCCAGTTTCATCGTGTGTACAATACATGCAAAATACCGGGACTGACCATGGATAAAATACAGTATTACTTTCAAACAGGTGAATATGTAGTTTTCACATGACATTATTTTATTAAGATAATTCAGTTATGAAACATTTATGTACCATGTGTATGATGTGTTGATAAAAACAAGATACACTGAAATGTAGGTCTGGGACGGGTACTCGGGTGCTCGGGTACTCGGGTCGAGTGGGTACTGAGTAGGACCAGTATACTGGGTCTTGTGTGGGGTTTTCAAGTTAAACTGCAGCATGCTATATCTGTGGGCTAGCACTGTAAAATCGGCATTATTCCAAACTAGTACATGCAGCTACACACACACACACACACACTTGTGCATGCACGTCACTTTTTAAGTGCAATAATCTTGAATGCGATGTCAAACCTCACCTCACCTCACCACACCTCACCTCACCTCACCTCACCCAGCAACTCGGTGGTCTAGAATGGGCACCTGGTTGCATTGTTGCTATCATATCATGAGATACCTCACCTCACCTCACCTCTCCTCACCTCACCTCACCTCACCTCACCTCACCTCACCTCACCCAGCAACTCTGTGGTCTAGAATAGGCACCTGGTTGCATTGTTGCTATCGTATCATGACATACCTCAACTCACCTCACCTCACCTCACCTCACCCAGTAACTCTGTGGTCTAGAATAGGCACCTGGTTGCATTGTTGCTATCGTATCATGACATACCTCAACTCACCTCACCTCACCTCACCTCACCCAGTAACTCTGTGGTCTAGAATAGGCACCTGCTTGCATTGTTGCTATCGTATCATGACATACCTCACCTCACCTCACCTCACCTCACCCAGTAACTCTGTGGTCTAGAATAGGCACCTGCTTGCATTGTTGCTATCGTATCATGACATACCTCACCTCACCTCACCTCACCTCACCCAGCAACTCTGTGGTCTAGAATAGGCACCTGGTTGCATTGTTGCTATCGTATCATGACATACCTCACCTCACCTCACCTCACCTCACCTCACCTCACCTTACCCAGCAACTCTGTGGTCTAGAATAGGCACCTGGTTGCATTGTTGCTATCGTATCATGACATACCTCACCTCACCTCACCTCACCTCACCCAGCAACTCTGTGGTCTAGAATAGGCACCTGGTTGCATTGTTGCTATCGTATCATGACATACCTCACCTCACCTCACCTCACCTCACCTCACCTCACCTCACCCAGCAACTCTGTGGTCTAGAATAGGCACCTGGTTGCATTGTTGCTATCGTATCATGACTCACCTCACCTCACCTCACCTCACCTCACCTCACCTCACCTCACCTCACCCAGCAACTCTGTGGTCTAGAATAGGCACCTGGTTGCATTGTTGCTATCGTATCATGACATACCTCACCTCACCTCACCTCACCCAGCAACTCTGTGGTCTAGAATAGGCACCTGGTTGCATTGTTGCTATCGTATCATGACATACCTCACCTCACCTCACCTCACCTCACCTCACCTCACCTTACCTCACCCAGCAACTCTGTGGTCTAGAATAGGCGCCTGGTTGCATTGTTGCTATCGTATCATGACATACCTCACCTCACCTCACCTCACCTCACCCAGCAACTCTGTGGTCTAGAATAGGCACCTGGTTGCATTGTTGCTATCGTATCATGACATACCTCACCTCACCTCACCTCACCTCACCTCACCTCACCTCACCCAGCAACTCTGTGGTCTAGAATAGGCACCTGGTTGCATTGTTGCTATCGTATCATGACTCACCTCACCTCACCTCACCTCACCCATCTACTCTGTGGTCTAGAATAGGCACCTGGTTGCACTGTTGCTATCGTATCATGACATACCTCACCTCACCTCACCTCACCTCACCTCACCTCACCTCATGTGGTCTAGAATAGGCACCTGGTTGCATTGTTGCTATCGTATCATGACATACCTCACCTCACCTCACCTGACCTCACCTGACCTCACCTGACCTCACCTCACCTCACCTCACTTCACCTCACCTCACCCAGCAACTCTGTGGTCTAGAATAGGCACCTGGTTGCATTGTTGCTATCGTATCATGACTCACCTCACCTCACCTCACCTCACCTCACCCAGCAACTCTGTGGTCTAGAATAGGCACCTGGTTGCACTGTTGCTATCGTATCATGACATACCTCACCTCACCTCACCTCACCTCATGTGGTCTAGAATAGGCACCTGGTTGCATTGTTGCTATCGTATCATGACATACCTCACCTCACCTCACCTCACCTCACCTCACCTCACCTCACCCAGCAACTCTGTGGTCTAGAATAGGCACCTGGTTGCAATGTTGCTATCGTATCATGACTCACCTCACCTCACCTCACCTCACCTCACCTCACCTCACCCAGCAACTCTGGTCTAGAGTAGGCACCTGGTTGCATTGTTGCTATCGTATCATGACATACCTCACCTCACCTCACCTCACCTCATGTGGTCTAGAATAGGCACCTGGTTGCATTGTTGCTATCGTATCATGACATACCTCACCTCACCTCACCTCACCTCACCTCACCTCACCCAGCAACTCTGTGGTCTAGAATAGGCACCTGGTTGCATTGTTGCTATCGTATCATTACTCACCTCACCTCACCTCACCTCACCTCACCTCACCTCACCCAGCAACTCTGGTCTAGAGTAGGCACCTGGTTGCATTGTTGCTATCGTATCATGACTCACCTCACCTCACCTCACCTCACCTCACCTCACCTCACCCAGCAACTCTGGTCTAGAGTAGGCACCTGGTTGCATTGTTGCTATCGTATCATGACACACCTCACCTCACCTCACCTCACCTCACCTCACCTCACCCAGCAACTCTGGTCTAGAGTAGGCACCTGGTTGCATTGTTGCTATCGTATCATGACACACCTCACCTGTTGCTGACTGCCACAGTAAACAACTTATTGTAGAGTAGAGTAGCATATTGTCTAACCCTGCACTTGTCATGATATAGTTGTACAAGAGGGTCATTATGGGTTTTCAATACTTGCAGAGACTGAAGGCCCAGCCCCCTCCAATGTTATTGTGACATGCCGAGGTCACTACTTCACCCTGGAGTGTCTCGACTCGGAGGGTGAGGTCAAAACACAGCCGGAATTTCTTCATCATCTGAAGGCCATTCGAGAGAAGTGTGATCAGATGCCACGTGGGCAGGCCATCGGGAACCTCACCACAGACGACCGCACCGAATGGGCCAAGGTATACGGTCTCCACCATTGTCCCATGTATAAAACCCCCATTCCATTGTGGACTGGGTCCGTGGTTTAGTGGACCGCCTCCGTGGTCTAGTGGTAGAGCGTCCGCCCGGAGAGCGGAAGGTCCGGGGTTCGATCCCCGGCCGCGTCATACCAAAAGACGCTAAAAGATGGTACTTGTTGTTACCCTATCTGGCGCTCGGCATTAAGGGGCTAAAACAAGGACTGTTCGGCTCGGAGTCAGTATACTGTGTCTGAGTGGGGTATTCATGTTAAACTGTGGCGTGGTATCTCAGTGAGCTAGCACTATAAATCGATATCACTCCGGACTAGTACAAGCAGCCACACAAACACACACACGTACATGCACGTCGCTATATAAGTGCAATAATCTTGGACGCGACGTTAAACCCCATTTCACCTCACCTAACCATGGTTTAGTAGATAGACTGTCTGCCTGGAGAGATCGTGGTTCGATCCCTGGCTGCATCGTACCAAAAGACCTACTTGTCGTTACCCTGCCTGGCACTTGGATTTAAGGAATAAACAAGGACTGGTCTGTTCGGAGTCAATATGATGTATCTGAGAGGGGTATTATATAATAACTGAGGGATGGTATTTCAGTAGGCGAGCACTATAAAACTAGTCTGGACTAATACAAGCAGCCACACACACACATACATGCATGAACATCACTATATAAGTGCAATAACCTTGGAACGCACCGTTAAACCCCATTTAACCTCACATCACATCCTGGACCTATTCACCACCATCCTCTCCAGGACCTCGTTCCACAAAACAATCTTAGCGTTTAGACGATCGCAACTCCCATACTTTAACATAGACTAACGACAATCGTAACATTACGACGCTTGCGTTTTGGTGAACCTTCACTAACCCCTTGATCCATTCCATTGATTTTCATAAGCTATTTGATTTGCTGTGCTACTCAGTTGGATTATCTGAATACAATTGACTAAGCAGCCACAATGTTGGGTTGGCGACATCAACAACATGACAGCCAGTACCACTGATTACGATTGAGTTTGCAAAAAATACAACTTTTGAAAAACTGACTGACATGCAAATGAAAGCTCTAAAAAAAAACCCTTTTTGGGAAAAGATGTTTTCCTGAAGATATGAGGTGTGATGAAATGGTGTTAAATGTATTCAAGATTATTTCCCCTATATAGAGACTTGCATGCTTGTGTGTGTGTGTGTGTGCGTGTGTGTGTGTGTGTGTGCGTGCGCGTGTGCGTGTGCGTGAGCGTCTGTCTGTCTGCTTGGCTGCTTGTACTAGTGGTGGATTTATCGTCCTAGCCCATATGATGCAACAGTTCAACAAAGATGCCCCTCTCAGACACAGTATACTGACTGAGCCGACCAGTCCTTGTTTTTGCCATTTGATGCTGAGCACCATGGTAACGATAAGAACCATCTTTTAATGTAATTTGGTTTGACGCAGCTGGGGATTGACTCATGACCGTCTGCTCTATAGACATATCACTGCTTCATGTGACTTGCCTGTAGAATTGCCATACTAAGTGTATTTTCTTAGGCGAAACATACCATCAGATAAATCTTATTGTTGTTCGGTCGTCCTTCCATTAGTTGTTTAACGCTGCACTCAGCAATATGACAGCTATATGACGGCGGTCGGTAAATAATCAAGTCTGGACCAGACAATCCAGTGATTGACATCATGAGCATCAATCCATGCAATTGGGATATGATGACATGCATCAACCAAGGCGAGCCTGACCACACGATCCCGTTAGTCGCCTCTTACGAAAAGCATAGTCGCCTTTTAAGGCAAGCATGGGTTGCTGTCTAATTGGCCAAAAATCTTTGATGTCTTTGTAATGTTGAATTGAAAACATCTGGACAGATTGCTGTTGACTGAACAACGTTATGAAATATGCCTCATGCTCTTGAGTTCGCACCCTCACTTACTCACCGGTGTTCCACTCACTCACTCACTCACTCACTCACTCACTCACTCACTCACTCACTCACTCACTCACTCACTCACTCACTCACTCACTCACTCACTCACTCACTCACCCACTCACCCACCCACCCACCCACCCACTCACTCTGTGTATTATTGTCAGATGAGGAGCCGCCTTATTGCCAGGCATCCAAAGAACTATGAGAATCTCGAGAAAATCCAGCAGTCTATATTCCTGTTGGACCTGACTGACGAGAGTCCATCCGATGCCAGTGAGGTACGTGACACAGTCAAGCAGCTCCGAAATGAGGTACACTCAGTATGAATGCTAGGTTTGCCCCGCTAACAATCTCAGTTTGCCAGGGATGGAGGGGCAGCCTAGTGGTTAAAGTGAGTCCAATTTTACTACCCAGGTACCCTACCCCCTATTGCCGTACCTGGGTACCTGCTGTAGGTCTCAAGAGTTGGGTACAAAATATCCGATTGGGAATTATTGTCCCCTGTCACAAAGTGGAAGGGGGCTATAGGAATGGGTGCTGTCCATCCGTCTTTCCATCTGTCCATCAAGACTTCCGTCTGTCATGTTTCTTTTCCGGAGCATAACTCAAAAACCATGAAAGATATCTTAACTAAACTTGGCACATGGATGGGTCTAGTAGTGAATTGCTCCCTTTTGATAGTTTGGGATTTAATTTTTTTAATTTTTTTTTGAGTTTCCATAGCAATGACTTTGACTGTAAATAGTGGTAGCACACCTTTCCAGAGCTGATCTTGAAAACTGTACAATATTTCTTCACCAAGCTTGGCAGATAGATAGGTCTAGTGGTCAACTGGTGCCTTTTCATTTTTTTCCACAAAAAATTATTTTTCGAGTTTGAATTACACTGAAAATGGCTGTAGTGCTAGTTTCAAGAGCAGATCTTGAAAATCTTACAATATTTCTTCACCAAACTTGGCACATAGTTAGGTCTAGTGGTGAACAGGGGCCTTTTGACAGTATGGGATTTTTGTCCCCCGCCGCGTGAAGTGCGAAGCGGGGGATATAGTATTCACGACCGTCCGTACGTACGTCCGTCCTTCTGTACGTCCGTCCGTACGTCCCACCTGTTGCCGCGATATCTCAAGAACTAAACACTGGATTGTCTTCATATTTGGAACTATGGTGTATATACAGACTCCGCAGACACCAGTCGGTTTTGGTGACCTTGACCCCATTTTCAAGGTCACAGCAGGCATATCTGCTTTTGGAGTTGGAAAACGGTGTTGCCGCGATATCTCAAGAACTAAGCTCTGGATTGTCTTCCTATTTGGGACTAGGGTGTATATATGGACTCCGCAGACACCAGTCGGTTTTGGTGACCTTGAGCCCATTTTCAAGGTCACAGCAGGTAAATCTGCTTTTGGAGTTGGAAAACGGTGTTGCCGCAATATCTCAAGAACTAATCACAGGATTGTCTTCATGTTTGGAACTATGGTGTATATACAGACACCGCAGACACCAGTCGGTTTTGGTGACCTTGACCCCATTTTCAAGGTCATAGCAGGCAAATCTGCTTTTGGAGTTAGAAAACGGTGTTGCCGCGATATCTCAAGAACTAAACACTGGATTGTCTTCATATTTGGAACTATGGTGTATATACAGACTCCGCAGACACCAGTCGGTTTTGGTGACCTTGACCCCATTTTCAAGGTCACAGCAGGTAAATCTGCTTTTGGAGTTGGAAAACGGTGTTGCCGCGATATCTCAAGCACTAATCGCAGGATTGTCTTAATATTTGGAACTATGGTGTATATACAGACTCCGCAGACACCAGTCGGTTTTGGTGACCTTGACACCATTTTCAAGGTCACAGCAGGTAAATCTGCTTTTGGAGTTAAAAAACGGTGTTGCCACGATATCTCAAGAACTAATCGCAGTATTGTCTTCATGTTTGGAACTATGGTGTATATACAGACACCGCAGACACCAGTCGGTTTTGGTGACCTTGACCCCATTTTCAAGGTCACAGCAGGCAAATCTACTTTTGGAGTTTGAAAACAGAGTTGCCGCGATATTTCAAGAACTAAACACTGGATTGTTTTCATATTTGGGACTATGGTGTATATACAGACTCCGCAGACACCAGTCGGTTTTGGTGACCTTGACCCCATTTTCAAGGTCACAGCAGGTAAATCTGCTTTTGGAGTTGGAAAACGGTGTTGCCGCGATATCTCAAGAACTAATCGCAGGATTGTCTTAATATTTGGAACTATGATGTATATACAGACATCGCAGACACCAGTCGGTTTTGGTGACCTTGACCCTATTTTCAAGGTCACAGCAGGCAAATCTGCTTTTGGAGTTAGAAAACGGTGTTGCCGCGATATCTCAAGAACTAATCGCTGGATTGTCTTCATATTTGGTATTTTGGTGTATATACAGGCGGGGGACATTTCGTCACTTCTGTGACAAATACTTGTTTCAGAATGTTTCCTTGGCAAGAACTGGACTTCGGCTCAAATACATGTAGCATTCATTTTAGACTCAGAAACTGTTTACAGATTCTACAAAAGGATCTACGCAGGGTTGTCTGAGAACTATTACCATAATTACCTAATTGAGATGTATATCACTTGACATGAAGTTTAAAGCCCAGGTGGGTCAAGTGTATACAATGCTCAGTAGGGTCAAATCAAGGAATGAGATGACTAGAATGAGATGACTAGAATGTGGAATGAAATACTGTTCCCCTGGACACACCCTGTAGAGAACAGTCATGGTGATGGACTCCAGGTGGCTCACTTGAATGTATGATCACTCAATGCTCATTTTGAAGATGTGAAGAATTATAAGTTTATTGGTGTGGTTCCTGATTTGTGTTTCCCAGAAACTCACATCAATGATTACAGTGAAAGAGACCTCCAAGGATATAAAGGCTACCGTATATGTCCGCAGATCAGCCGAATTTTGAGGATCAGAAAAAAGATTCTGTAGAAAAGGTTTGGCTTATCCACGGGATACACTTTCATGATAGTATTTGTCTTGCAGTCCGACTTCGCAGTGTTTTTTTTTTGCCTATCACTTCCAGGTTCGGCTTATCTACGGGTCATATAATTTTCTTTCGTATTTCAATGTTTCAATTTCAAGTTAATACCTCGGCTTATCTACGGGGTCGGCTTATCTGCGGTCATATACGGTACACAGTATTGCTTTGTATGTGTTTCAAGAACAGTGTCCACCTGTGTGATATATCGTCATCTCACCGTATTGAATACATTTCCTTTCTTGTTGGCAAGTTCTGCATCTGTTAGGTCTAGTGGTGAACAGGGGCCTTTTGACAGTATGGGATTTTTTCAGAATGTTTCCTTGGCAAGAACTGGACTTCGGCTCAAATACATGTAGCATTCATTTTAGACTCAGAAACTGTTTACAGATTCTACAAAAGGATCTACGCAGGGTTGTCTGAGAACTATTACCATAATTACGGGTCATATAATTTTCATTCGTATTTCAATGTTTCAATTTCAAGTTAATACCTCGGCTTATCTATGGGGTCGGCTTATCTGCGGTCATATACGGTACACAGTATTGCTGTGTATGTGTTTCAAGAACAGTGTCCACCTGTGTGATATATCGTCATCTCACCGTATTGAATACATTTCCTTTCTTGTTGGCAAGTTCTGCATTGCTTGTGTGTATGTTCATCCAAAAGTGTGGTGGACACGGTTGCGACATTCACTTACTGATTTCATGCAGAAACTCATCACAAATATAGTTACATATTCTATATTAAACTGCACATGGCAAGATTAGTCCATTTACAAAAAGGTCCAGTGAACATAGTTTAAAGGGGCTAATGGCTTGCACACAACCAGACATGTCATATTGGCGGGGGATATGAGTATTTCATTCTTGTTTACTGGAGCCCCATCTTCCCGAGGCAAGGGACTTAACTGACTTTAAAAGTCCAGTTTCCACCCTTGCCGAACTTGGCTGGAATTACTGGGCTCGATCGGAGCGCCACCAGTGGCTATTACCAGTTATGTCCCTTCTAAGCCTCTCCTATGGACCAGTCAGATCCCACCTCTCGTATGACTTGCGTTTGCTTCACACAAAATGGTGGTGCTCAGTCAGGACGATCTGATCGACAATCAAGATCTATATTGTGATAAAACGGGTCTTACATCGCGAAATGCATCAAATCACGTGAGCACCTTGATTAAAAACATGAAAGGATTTGGAAAATATCTGCTGACAACGAATTGGCGATGCACATGCTTTGCAAACCCTGCAATCGATCGAAATTTGCAAGACAGTTTACGAACCGGATATTGATTTCGGTGCGTGATTTTGATTGGACTATGCATAGACTCGTTAGTCCAGACAAAAGTAACTCCATAATACCAGCCTAGTTCGGCAAGGGTGGAAACTGGACTTTTATAGTCAGTTAACTCCTTTTCCTCGGGAAGATGCTGGAGCCCTGGCAAAACGTATTTAGTATAAAACAAACTGGTAATGTATACACTGAAGTTGACAAAAAATGTATTTTTATTCAAACCTATAAAAGTCAGAAAGAAATATGGACATTAGAGACTTGAACTGAAACCATTGTGTTTCAGTGATTTGGGTCTTCGTGTATCTGAAAAACTGTTTGGAGCACGCTTTGAAATAAAAAACTTGCCATGAGGACCCGCAGACTTTAGAAACCTGATGGCCCAGACTGAACTCTTCAAGCACTCATTTTAAAAAGTTTAAATTTTTACCAAGTAGCCATATGGCTACAAGTATTTTTTACTTAGGTAGCTAGTGGTAAAATCAAGCAAATATTGTAGGTAGCTAAAAGCATTTGAAATTATTTTTCATAATATGTACAAGTCATAAGACTAGTCTTGGAATTGTATATTACTGGAAACTGTTCTTGATTTTTGTTATTTGTGACATAAACCGTTATGCAAATTAGGTTGCTAGATTACATAGGTACAATGTATATCCTTGCTTATCCAATGAGCATTGTCAGCCGAAATAACATTCATATTTCTGTATTTCTGTTCATTGTCGACTTGATGAGGGATTATTCCGCAAGTACAATTATTAGCAGACATGTTTTCCACAATCAGCTGTTATTTATTTTTGTGTCTACATATGTGAAGCTTTTGAATTTAGTTGCCACAAGATATTTTTCAAAGTAATCATTTGGTGACCTCTGAATTTTGGATAGTTGACAAATTTAGGTCGCAACTTCAAGACCTGAAACTGCAGCTCTTTGCGACAAATAAATCGACACATAAATTTACTGAAAGCCAGAAGGACCAATACAAATTTGAAACTAAGGGCCGGACACGAGATCTACCTGCCACGGGCCTATAGGCAGGGGCTTATTTCGAACACTGGTTCAAAGGGGCATTGAACCCAACAAATTTACTCACTCTGATTTCAAATTGCAGACGTTACTAAAATACTATTCACTCCCATTACCATGATTGACAAATCATTATAGTAACATACGTTCTGTTTTCAGCTTGCGTGGCGGGGACTAGGTGGTAATGCAGACAACAAGTTCTTTGATAAATCCCTCAACATTTCTGCTCACAAGAACGGACTGTTCTGCTCCAACTGTGACGTAAGTATAGTATATATTCTCTGTAAATCTTGTCGCTAGAGGCGACTAATGGGGTCGGGTAAAATATAAATCAACATAAACAGTCTCAGTTGGTCTGGCTGTTCTATAGTTGACTGGTGTGTACATTGGACCTGTAAAGATATAGGTCTTCAGCACCCATGCTGGCCGTAAAAGGCGACTATGCTTGTCGTAAGAGGCGACTAACGGGATCGGGTGGTCAGGCTTGCTGAATTGGTTGATGCATGTCATCGTATCCCAATTGCGTGGATCGATGTTCATGATGTCAATCACTGGATTGTCTGGTCCAGACTTGATTATTTACCGACCGCCGTCATATAGCTGGAATAATGCTGAGTGCAGCGTTAAACAAAAAACAAACCAAAAACCATGTCATACTGTGTTCCAGCATGCTCCGTTTGACGCCATGGTGCTGGTGGTGAGCACGTACTATGTCCATGTCAAGATGCAGGAGGTCGATGGCAAGTGGCAGGTCAGTAACACGCTCAGATGGGACAGTCGTCATGTAAGTGGCGAATATTTAAGGTTTTGACTAAATGAGGCAATTAAGTTTTCCGGCTCTCTGATTTGTTGGAATATTTTTCACGTATTTTCATGATTTTGTTCATAAAATCAACTTAAAAAAAAAAATTAAACTTTTTTTATAGTTTTATTTGGTATTTTATTTTATTATTTTGCCCCTTGGCATGCTGAAATGGAAAATATATGAGACAAGACATGAAACTGATCCAGCCCAGCAGAGTATCACCAAATTGTGTCAGATCCAGATAGTTGACAGGCACCTGATGCACCTTGACCTAGTTCCGCTATCTACCTGGTGTGATGTGTGGTATGTGGCGTGGACTCTGCCCTGTCTGCTGGTTTGCTTGAATTATGTCAGTCAGGCAGGGTCACTGCTTCGTCAATTGCCACTTGACTATTTTGGCAGTTCATGTGATATCCATGTCTAAAGTACGAACCCGTTATTCTCTGAAACTGAGACTTAAGCTTAAAAAAATAAAAGAATTCGTTCTCGGGCAATGACTTTTGAAAATATAGGGCGGGTGGGCGGGCGGGCGGTGCTTTTTTGTTGTTGCTTGTTCAGTATGTAACCAAATAAACAGTTGTGTACCATCAACCTGGGATAGGGCCTCCCTACATTAACAAACATACAAGCTCCTATAGCTGCTGTGACCATAACACGAGATGCACAGTGAAGCAGTGCGCATGTGAAGTGAAGTAACTGCATGCTATATTGGATCGCATTGTTTTTAAGTATTCAGACCTTTTAATTTGTTTTTAAAAATGGAAATAAAAACGAAACGTACGGCAGATATTATGATGAAACAAGACTATTATTTTTTTTAGGCTTAGAAATAGTGAGTGAGTGAGTGAGTATGGTTTTACGCCGCTTTTAGCAATATTCCAGCAATATCAAAGGGGGGGGACACCAGAAATGGGCTTCACACATTGTACCCATGTCGGGAATCGAACCCGGGTCTTGGACGTGACGAGCGAACGCTTTAACCACTAGGCTACCCGACCGCCCCAGGCTTAGAAATAAACATTTCAGCTATGATATCAGAGATTCATTGAAGCATTCTCAGGACGAGGATGATCGAACCACATGTTTGTTGTACCTGAACCACATTATGAAAGTGGTGAAATTAACCGACTCAATTTGATAAGACATATCCTCTTTAGGCTAAACAACATACCGTATTCGACGTAATAAGCGCCGCGCTCTAATAAGCTACCACAGCGATATTGGCTTATATATTGGCTAGTGAACAATCTCATTTAGCACCCTTCCAATTGATCAATGTACACAAGACTTATTTATTCGCGTATAATACGTACTTGTGTGTAATATGCACCCTTAATTATGGGCAATTACATTCTGGAAAAATATATCTGTCGTATATAAACATTGCAGGCTGTCAGCATAAACCACGAAATTTATCTTTTAACTTTTTCACAAAAGTAATATTCTAATAAGAGCCCCCTATTACTAATTTTGAGTGCGCCCTGGGCGCTTATTATATCGAATACGGTAGTACTGTTTCCATACAAATCTCTTAATACATCGTACATGAAAGAGTCCTATGCCTTATGCATGTCTGTGTAGGTACACCCCTCAACTTTTAGTCTCATGGTGTACCGGCCCCTCCAGCTTATAAAATCCTGTTCACCCTGCTACTGCGGTGTTAGAAATTGGCACTAGTCCTGTAGTCCTTGCCAAACTGCCCAAAAGTTAAGGTATCAAAAGGACCAGTAGAAATTTACCATTATTAAGGGTTTTTCTGTGTTATCGTTGTAAGGACTAGGGGAATAAAAGTGTTAGCTTCTACCACAGCTACTGACACAGGTTGTATTATTTCAGGGTCGGGGTAGCCTTGAGGTTAGAGGATTCGCTCCTTATACCAAAGACCCATTCCCACATGGGTCGACCGCCTCCATGGTCTAGTGGTAGAGCGTCCGCCCGGAGAGAGGAAGGTTCGGGGTTCCATCCCCGGCCACGTCATACCAAAAGACATTAAAAGATGGTACTTGTTGTTACCCTGTCTGGCGCTCGGCATTAAGGGACTAAAACAAGGACTGGTCGGCTCAGAGTCAGTATACTGTGTCTGAGTGGGGTATTCATGTTAAACTGTGGCATGGTACCTCAGTGAGCTAGCACTTTAAATCTGCATCAGTCCGGACTAGTACAAGCAGACACACACACACACACACGTACATGCACGTTGCTATATAAGTGGAATAATCTTGGACGCGACGTTAAACCCCATTTCACCTCACTACCACATGGGTACAATGTGTGAAGTCTTTTTCTGGTGTCACCTGCCATGATATTGTTAGAATATTGCTAAAAGTGGCGCAAATCACTCACTCACTCACATATTATTTGAGATTATTCACAACTTATGAGGGTACAGTTTGCATGCAGTAAAACCCGGAATGTATTCTCACCATCAAAAGAAACGCGAACCATAAAACATATGGAGAAGTATGTACGTTAAGAAGAGATGTTTCCAATGTGTACCACTTAAAGACAAAAGTAACAATAAGTCGAGTGTTACCACAGAGTGTCTTTATACTTATCACGATATGATCCACGTGATTTCCAAACTTTACACGCTAATCCTGCATGTGCATCTCGAGGTCATGGATCTATGACATCACATGTGATGTGTTCATGAGCATCGGTTCACACAACATACCTGTACAGTAAACTACGGTTATAACGAACACGCTTATAACGAACTAACGGATATAACGAACTAACTTTTTCGTCCCGACTATATGCTGTAGTTATGCTGTACATCTGCTTATAACGAATTATGGTTATAACGAACTAAAATTAGTAGTCCCTTTGAGCTCGTTTTAACCGTAGTTTACTGTATATTCATTTGTGCATCAAACCAATCTAATATCTCTTGAATATGAGTAATTCTTCCTATATTAACCAACATGAATGGTGTTCAAGTTTCTTTTGGTGGTGAGTATATATTGCAACGTCTTGCTACAGGTTCCCATCAAAGTTTATACATGTACCGGGGGCACGGGTGGCCCAGTCGTCTAAGGCGCCGCAATTCGCTGTGCAGAATTGCGTTCCTTGGGCACGCCAGAAACCTATGATTGTGGTTTCGAATCCCGGTTCGCCCCGATTATGTTTCTAGGTTTGTCAGCACCATACCAGTGCTCGTAGGTTTCACCGAAGTGGGAAACGTCTGAGACCTGCATCACTTCAGGCTTTCCTCCTACATTAAGCCGCGATATAACTGGAATACTGTTAAAAGTGGCGTTAAACCCAACTCACTCACTCACTCAATTATACATGTACCATGTGTAGTGGTGGTGTTGATAATATGGTCATGTGAATTATTTATGACAGGGCAGCACAGCTGTAAGACAGTTACCTCCCCCTGAAGAACTCACGTTTGACCTTGATGATGTCCTCCAACAGAGGATCAAGTTCACGAGAGATGCATTTAAAGAACTGGTATGTATATAATACGTAGGAAGATCTGGACACATGAGTTACCATGGTTACGTGTGTCATTGACGGATTGTGTGGCATTGAAATCTTCTCATACATCTCAAGACAATGTACAAGATGGATGCATGTAGTCCAATGATCTGAAGCACCAGAATCCATTGTGAAGAGTTGTGTCCCTTAGATTTGCCTGGATCCACTGACTAGGATTTGAATCACAACATTTGACCTGATTGTGATCCTTGTTCAGCACCATACCCATTCTCATTTGCTTTTCCAGTGATATTTGTAAACAGATCCCATTATGATGCCGTCCGCCCGGAGAGCGGAAGGTCCGGGGTTAGATCCCCTGGCCGCGTCATACCAAAAGACGTTAAAAGATGGTACTTGTTGTTACCCTGTCTGGCGCTTGGCATTAAGGGGCTAAAACAAGGACTGGTCGGCTTGGAGTCAGTATACTGTGTCTGAGTGGGGTATTCATGTTAAACTGCGGCATGATATCTCAGTGAGCTAGCACTATAAATCGGCATCAGTCCGGACTAGTACAAGCAGCCACACACACACATACATGTGCATGCACGTCGCTATATAAGTGCAATAATCTTGGACGCGACGTTAAACCCCATTTCACCTTACATCTACGCAATTTGACTCAAATATGTATACGATACGTATCGCAACCTTTAATACGTATCATATCGTGACTTGCTGTATCGTTTCACCTCTCCCACCAACCCAAACCCACTCACTCATTCACTCACCCTGTTCTCGCTAGTGTGCCACTGTGGAGGTGAAGACAGGGCTGTTTACAGACTACGGCAAACAATACTTGAAGTCGGTCAAAGTTCACCCCGATGCTCACGTACAGATGGCGCTGCAACTCACATACTTCAGGAAGTACAGAAAGTAGGTACCCCGTGGCATACAGTCTCACATCCTTCACTTGAGTGGAATCGCTGAAATATATCTGTACTCTTTATTTGTTTATTGTTTAATGCCGTGACCCAGCTAAATGGGGGGCATGGGTGGCCCAGTCGTCTAAGGCGCCGTGATTCGCTGCGTCACTTGGGTACACCAGAAACCTATGATTGTGGGTTCGAATCCCGGTTCGCCCCGATTATTTTTCTAGGTTTGTCAGCACCATACTGAAGTGGTAAAATGTCTGAGACCTGCATCACGTCGGGCTTTCCTCCCACATTAAGCTGAAATGCCGTGATATAACTGGAATAATGTTAAAAGCGGTGTTAAACCCAACTCACTCACTCACTCCAGCAAAATGATGATAGTATGTAACTAATTGAGTGTTTATGACCAGACTATTCAGGAATTGACAACATGAGCAACAATCTTCGCAATTGTCATGCATCAACTTGTGATACCCTGGCTACACATAGTTTAGTCATGCCTGCGTAATGGTGGCTATTGGTAATATACGACCTTGTTTATTTGAGACAACAACAGAATTATAACTAAAGTTCAAACTGCAGGGGAAGATTTTGTTTGTTTGTTGTTTATAGCTGCACTCAGCAATTGTCCAACAATATGACGGCAGTCTGTAAATAATCATGTCTGGACCAGACAACATTGATCAATATAGAGAGCATCTATCCACTAAATTGGGAAGTGATGATATGCATCAAACATGTCAGCGAACCTGACCACCTGATCCCATTACCAGTAGTTGCCTCTTATGACATGCATGGGTTGGTGAAGACCTATTGTCACTGATATCTGTAACTGTGCAAGCCTCACTGCTGTCATAATAGTGCAAGAACAACTGTAGGTTATACATGTGACATGTTCTTTATGCTTTTGACCCGTGAAGATTCCGGGGTAGAATAGGTCTTCAGCAACCCATGCTTGCCGTAAGAGGTGACTATGCCTGTCGTAAAAGGCGACTAACGGGATCGGGTGGTCAGGCTCACTGATTTGGTTGATGCATGTCATTGATCCCAATTGCGTGGATCGATGTTCATGATATTAATCACTGGGTTGTCTGGTCCAGACTTGATTATTTACAGACCGCCGTCATATAGCTGGAATATTGCTGAGTGTGGCGTTAAACAACAAACCAACCCACCAACCAATCTTTATGCTTTTCATTGCTTTGTTCAAAACCTTATGAAACATTTATTGAACAGACCTGCCCCGACATATGAGACGGCGACAACCCGGCGTTTCTACCACGCTCGCACTGAGACGATGAGGTCTTGCACAGTGGAGGCGGTAGATTGGTGTAAATCCATGCTGGATGCTCGTGTCAGTGTGAGTATCAACAGGAAACAGCGACATCATGTAGTAAAACATGGCAGTTAAAGACCGCGCCATGGTCTAGTGGATTCCCTTTACCTTCACTTTTATATTCATGGACTGACATGATACAGCTCGAATATTGCTGACTGCAGCGAAAATTAACAATCACTCTCTACTGTACTGTTGCCATGGTTACAGTCCCAGAAGCGCCTGCAGCTGTTTCTCCGAGCCGTGTCCCGACACCAGCAGCTGATGACGGAGTCCCAGGACATGAACGGCTGTGACCGCCATCTGTTTGGCCTCTACTTGACCGCCAAGGAGGAGGGACTGCCCATGCCCGACATCTTCACAGATGCTACTTTCTTCAAGAGGTATTCAATATGTAGCCCTTACAGGCGACTATGATTGTCGTAAGAGGCGACTAACGGGATCGGGCTCCCTGACCTCGTTGATGCATGTCATTGTATCCCAGTTGAGTAGATCGATGCTTATGATATCAATCACTGGATTGTCTGGTCCAGATTCGATTATTTACAGACCACCGTCATATAACTGGAATATTGCTGAGTGTTGTGTTAAACAACAAGCAAACAAACAAATGCAATACAAACTCACTCTCCTGGAAAGTGTGCTTTACCATGTGCTGGTGTCATGATTTTATGTCTTGGTACATTGTCCATCTGTTGTTAACTTTTGCAAGTTTGATATCTCTGAAACTACAAGGCCTATGAAACTGACAATGGTGTGTGATGTGATTTGCAAGAAGCACTTCAGCTATAGTCAGTGATGGTGTCTCTCATTTGTTCTGATCAAAGACTTCTGATAACCAAAATACTGTTTCAAACAGCACAAAATACAAACACACTCTGTCTTTGGTTTAACATTTTTTTCAATATTTTGTTTATTTTTCTAGAGCATTTACATGGTTTTGCATAACAATATATTCAAAGAAATAAAGCATGACAGCTTGACCATAGATTATGAAAGTAATCTCTATTACAATTATTGACGGAAGAATACTTTGTTAACTCATTGATCTCCAATATGAATTGGAATGTTGGATGATACTTGTTATTTCTTAAGTTGAAAATATAATTTGTTTTAACAAAATAATGATAAGGTTTATAGGATTGTTATTTTTTGATAAATAACAAAAAAGAACATTTTCTTTGGTTATTGTTACCAGGCTGTGCATTTTGTGCGATATCCAAATTTCCATGTCTCGTCAGATGGAGCTTACTTTGTTGCATTCCCAAAATATATGTATAACATCTTCTGTTTCGTTACATTTAATGATAAATTACTATGCCTGCAAAACCTATTCCATGAGATCTTTATAACCAAAAAGAATAACAGAAATGTAATATTTCAAATTTTCAGTGGCGGGGGAGGTAATTATGTGTTGTCGACAAGCAGTATCGGCTACACGTCTGTGTACGGCGGAGTGTCCCCCATGTGTAGGAATGGATATGGCTGCTTCTACAGAATGGATTCAGATGAGTGAGTATATCACAGGCCTATGCAAAGTAAATACCATGTAGTTTTTTTCAGGATTCTCCTGAAAAAGTCTTTTTGAAGATTATGGATCAGAATAGGTTTTCAGTATGACATGGTTGTAATGCAAGAGCTTTTTTTAAAGTTGGTTTACGAATCACAACTCCAAACAATTGAAATGTAAAAAATTAGAAGCAGTATATTTTTTATTCCGCTGACCAGAAATATATGAAATACAGTCAACTACGTTAATAACGAACATGCTTATAACAAACTGACTGATATAATGAAATGTGTTTTCACCCCGTCAATTTGCTGTATATTTGCTGTATATATGCATATAACAAACTACGGTTATAACAAACTAAAATTGGTGGTCCCTTGAGTTCTTTATAACTGTAGTTTAGTGTAAGTTAAATATTTGACAAAATATTCATTTACTGTTGCCAATGCAGCCTTGACACATATTGCTGTTTTCTGCCGCTAAACAAAGATCTGAGGACATCCCATTACGGGTCACGTCAGAACGAACTTTCGTGAACTTTGACCGACCACTGAAACAAATAACAAGAAGTCAATTTCAGCCAATGAGAAAGCAGCTTTCTTGAGCTTTACGGCACTCGTTTCAACCTGGCGACATCCATTTCAGACTATGCTTGAAAAATATGTTGACACAGTTCTCGATTAAAATTTTGAAAACTGAACAAAAGAACAATCCGGAATGTCTAATATATGGTTATGATTGTATGGCAGTGCTTACCACATACTGTGCCTCCGTACAAATGTTTAACCTACGGAAGCGAGAGACAGATGATAATTTTGACGGAATCAGTCGTACGGGCCGTAACTCGTTCGGAATAGCCGTGTTAATATTTTAGAGGTTGCATGTTTAGAAAACACATTCCGACTGTCACTTTCATGATCTGGTAAACGATGCTTTGATTGGTGGGATGAAAGGTCGTTCTGACATGACCCGTAATAGGATGTCCTCAGATTTTTGTTTAGCGATAGTGAGAACTAAAATCTGATTTTAATGAGATTTGTTTATATTCCTACCTACTTTACGACCTTAATTTCTATCGCCAAAATCTGTCAATGAAAAAATAAAGAGGGTCTGTGGTCCCATCCAATCTATGTTTGTAAGGGGCAACCATATGAATCGGGTAGTCAGCCCAGGTCTTGGACCCCAGAATTATTCAAAATCAGCCTCCATTTTTCCATGGGTCCCCTGGCCCCTGTATTTCTGATACCCAGCCAATCATATTCCAGGTTATGGGTCACATGACTCATAAGTACCGGTATTCGTATCGTTCTCAAGCACCCAACCCACTCACTCACTCTTTCCATGTTGCAGGATCGGCACATTTATTTCGTCCTGGGTGGAGGACGAGGAAACAAGTGCCAAGGAGTTTACAGTGGAGTTTCACCAGACCCTCAGGGACATGCAAACATTACTGGACCACCGCGCCACCTCTGCCAGATTGTAGGGCGGGCAACTCCTGGCCTACTTCACATCCTAGCTAAGATTATTCCAAGTCCCATGATGCCTTACGATAGCCGTAGCACTTTATAGAATGAGTGCAAGCTCATAGAAATGCCACTTGCAGAATAAGAGCAGATCATAGCCTTGGTCACTATCACACAAATTTATATTTATGCATCAAAGTGACCGTATCGCTAGCTCTCCTTTGGGCTTCGATGACAGCACGTGGAGCCGTACAACCAATGTAAACAAAGGATAACTACGCAAAAACAAGTAGATTTTCACATATGAGCACACTTTCTTAATGAACCGTAACCATTCTTTGACATTTGTTTATGAAAATGTGTAGACTTGTCAAACATGAAACGGATGAAAAGCATATGCAATATCTTGAATGGACTGTAAAAGATGTAACGAATTATCACATGGCGCTGGCCTGTGACAGAGGTACTATGCTGGCTGGCTGCCGGCCGCATGGAACTCTGGGTAGAGAGTGGAACTAGCCCGAACATTGTTTGGTTTGGTTGGTCGGAGTGGTACATTGGAGTAGTTGTTTTATTAAGATGTGAAGTTGTCATAAAAATAACATGTGACCCATCAGGACAAAAGGGACCTTATTGGTGCTAGGATACCATTGCGCTGTGACGTCATATGACGTTTGTCAACTTTCTTCAGTGAACATCGTCTATGTGTGGACCTTTCAGAAATATCTTATTTTTCTCTCGTTAGTTCATAATGTAATAAGAACATTATTTCAAAACCCATCAGCATACATGTCTACTTTCAGTTCATCAGACATACCGTATTCGACGTAATAAGCGCCCAGCTCTAATAAGCGCCCACGGCGACATTTGCTAAGATATTGGCTAGTGAACAATCCCAATTAGCACCCCTTCCGGTTGATCAATGTACACAAGACTTATTTATTCGCGTATAATACGCACTTGTGTGCTATATGCACCCTTAATTATTGGCATTTAATTTTGAAAAATATATCTGACGTACATAAACATTTCAGGCTGACAGCATAAACAACGAAATTTATCTTTCAACTCTGTTTTTTTCACAAAAATAATATTCTAATAAGAGCCCCCTATTTCTTATTTTGAGAGCGCTCTGGGCGCTTATTACGTCGAATACGGTATGTCTAAAATCTGCAATTATTACATAAACAGCTATAAGTTGGAAAATAAGTCCACCGTTGCTGACATGTATCTCTGTAACAAATATGAAACAAAGCTCGTGGATTAAATTTTTTGTGTTCCTAAGATCCTGTAATTTTAAAATATAATGAAAAGTCAAAATGTGATTTTTCACCCATAAGGTCCCTTATCTCATGGATGGTCACATATGCTTCTCAGCTGTTGTTAAGTCACGAATCTGTTCATCAAGAATTATTATTTACCTTCAACTTAAATCATATAATAATTACTCCCTTCACTTAATAATGACCGTTTCCTGCAAATGTACCCTTTGGATGACTGTAGAATGTGGGATTCTGTGAGGTAGTAAGTTGCCACTGTGCCATCATTAAACAGAATAGATGCCAGGCCTCTAATAGATGGACCTTTAATAGATGCCGGGTCAACGTTTTGCGTGAAATTGATAGACGCTAGGGCATCTAGTAGAAGGAATACGGTACTCACCTGTTGATTACCAACATAATGTCACACCTGTTTAAACTTACCATTCCTATTAGAACTATTTTGCATGGTTTGAAAGATGATCTCAGGTTTTACATGTTGATGTAAGTACATCATCGAATGCATATCAAGCATTTGTTACTCACGTATAATTGCAGGATTAGATTCACAAATGTTTTTATACATTTTCCGTTATTTTGTTTGTTTTCAAATATCATTGAATTATTATGCAATTTTAAAACCATAGTCCAGTCAAAAATCTTCAGATAGTCTAATTTTAGTTGGCTTAGAACTTTGATAGGTAGTTTGATCTTATTTTAGAAAATGTACACCTGTACATATAGCATGGTAGTGATGATGATAGTGCTAGAAACTCGTATTTTATTCAGTTTGTTTGACTCTTATTTATCTAGCAGTGCTGTGGAGTGTTCCGGTGTTTAATTGGATTTTAAATCTGCGTTTTAGTTAAGTTTTACCTATATCAGCCCATCATACATTACCTTAAGCAGGTTGATATTTACATCATCAGTTCAGGGCCTCGTTCCTCAAAGCGATCTTAGCGCTACGATGATCGTAAGCCTATGTTAAAGTATGGGACTTACGATCACCTTAGCGCTAAGATTGCTTTGAGGAACGGGGCCCAGCTGTGTGGGTAAGATAGACGAAGGAAGCAATTGCCTACTGTTTCGAAGCAATTCCAGACCATTCTGAGAAAAACTAATCATGTCGCAGTTAGACATCATACGCAGTAAACATAGTTGTGATAGCAATTTGTGGAACGTACTAGTTAACATTTGATAGGGTACCTGAAACGTACTTCATACTCTGGCGTAGCTTGACGACTTATTGACCTGTGTATTTATGTGTAATCAACTTGCACATGCTTAAGTTCCATTGCAATATCTAATACTATTCGTATGACAACATATCCGAGCAATCAGTCAAGTTCAGACTTGAGAGTTATTTATGTCACCATATTGCAACACATACCTCTTTCCATCTTCCCAAGGCAAGTGTGTCCACTAGCCTATATCAAAGCCTAGTTTCTACTCTTTCCACATCAAGGCCACTTTTCTTGGCTCACGTAGACCACAAGTTGTGCCCCTTGTAATGAAAACACGATATCCAATCTGATTGCTGTTCGTATCTCGTATAGCTTCACAAATATGGCGCCTACCTAGTCGATGAGATAACGAAAAGATTCGTGATTTCATCCCGACACAGAAACATAGGCAATCGTTGAGGGGTTGAAAGATGAAAAAGACATATTCGTGTCTACAAAGACAGACAGTGGTAAGTCACTTTCATACGAAGGTGTACCAGTCGTGGATGTTGATTTTGTGAAAAGGTCTCTGATTGGACTATTGATATGTGCGATAGTCCAATCATATTTAGCACAGGAAAGTGGGCTTGATTTGGCAAGGGTGGAAGCAAGACTTTGATGATAAGGCTAGTGGACGCTCTTGCCTCGGGAAGATGACCTCTTTCCTGAGTTATTGTGTTGGAGCAGTTGACTTCAGCGGAACTGTTCTTCCTCAATATGCAAATGCTTCTCCCAGGAGAGCTGCAGAGTTCTTAGTTCTGTTACTGTCAGTTGGAAATGGACTTCAGTCAGGCTCGAAGACTTGGTTGATGCAAGTCATCGTATCCCAATTGCGTAGATCAATGCACATGATGTCGATCACTGGATTGTCTGGTTCAGACTCCATTATTTACAGACCGCCGTCATATAGCTGGAATATTGCTGAGGGCGGCGTTAAACAACAAACCAACCAACCAACTTGACATTTAACACTATTTTGCATGTATTTTTACAAAAATATACTACTCATTAGAAAGTAAAGAAACCCAACCCTCTCATATTACTATGGTATGTCATAACACATTAACTTAAATAATATGTAAGAATCGGTGTTCTTTAACTCCTTTTGAGTAGTATTAATACCATCACTTTGTTAATTCACTGAAATCGGCACTTCAGGACATTTTTAACTGAAACATCTTTTTATTTTTTTATCCCCCGCAGCGGGGGATATAGTATTCACGACCGTCCGTACGTCCGTCCGTCCGTCCGTCTGTCCGTCCGTCCGTCCGTACGTCCCACCTGTTTGTTGCCGCTATATCTCAAGAACTAAACACTGGATTGTCTTCATATTTGGAACTATGGTGTATATACAGACTCCGCAGACACCAGTCGGTTTTGGTGACCTTGATCCCATTTTCAAGGTCACAGCAGACAAATCTGCTTTTAGAGTTGGAAAACGGTGTTGCCGCGATATCTCAAGAACTAAACACTGGATTGTCTTCATATTTGGAACTATAGTGTATATACAGACTCCGCAGACACCAGTCGGTTTTGGTGACCTTGATCCCATTTTCAAGGTCACAGCAGGCAAATCTGCTTTTAGAGTTGGAAAACGGTGTTGCCGCGATATCTCAAGAACTAAACCTCTCGATTGTCTTCATATTTGGAACTATGGTGTATATACAGACACCGCAGACACCAGTCGGTTTTGGTGACCTTGATCCCATTTTCAAGGTCACAGCAGGCAAATCTGCTTTTGGAGTTGGAAAACGGTGTTGCCGCGATATCTCAAGAACTAATCGCTGGATTGTCTTCATATTTGGAACTATGGTGTATATACTGACACCGTATACACCTGTCAGATTTGGTGACCTTGATCCCATTTTCAAGGTCACAGCAGGCAAATCTGTTTTTGGAGTTGGAAAACGGTGTTGCCACAATATCTCAAGAACTAATCGCTGGATTGTCTTCATATTTGGTACTATGGTGTATATGGCGGGGGATATTTCGTCACTCTGTGACAAATACTTGTTTTTATCCCATCTACACACCAAGGACCAAGGAATCAGTAAGCAAATAAATAAAACAAAACATTTTGGTAATTATGTGTACAAACATTGATCATACACATGACGAGATGCTAATGAGGCAATATGAATCAATGTCGCCTCGAAGAAACTGAAGGGTATTTGTGTTTGAGGAAAGTGTTTTGATATATATATGGCTCATTATTATGTGATATTCAATGTATTTCCTGTGAACACTTTTATTATGTTAGCCCATGTGCAGTGAACCTCCAACTTCAAGTGTATGTATGGACCATGAAGTATATTGGCCGACTCTCCTGGGTTTAGAGTGAGTGAGTGAGTGAGTTTGGTTTTACGCCGCTTTTAGCAATATTCCAGCAATATCACGGCGGGGGACACCAGAAATGGGCTTCACACATTGTACCCATGTCGGGATTTGAACCCGGATCTTCTGCGTGACGAGCGAACGCTTTAACCACTAGGCTACCCGACCGCCCCCTGGGTTTAGAGATGTTTACTTATTGAATGTGACATGGGATTTATACCAACAGACAACCAACTTTCCTCAACCTGCCCCATGTGTGTGCTACTGTGTTATTAAAATCAGGTCTTTTGCTCCGTTTTGCTGCATGAAAAACTCCCAATGAAAGCACATCTTTAGTCAGCTTTCTAACATGTTAGACCTTTATTTCTTTACATCTTGATTCAGACATTTCACTGTTTGCAAAAAATACTGAACAAAAAAACATATCCTTTATCAGTGCCAGATGAATTATATGGTAAAACTAAAAATTTTGCTCTAA